TGTGTGTAAGGAGACAGTCCCTATACTTACATCACCCAGAGCTCGCTCCAGACACGAGGTGAGCTTCATGATGCCTAGAGAAACCATAGGAGCCTGCTCACTTTCCAAGGCATCGAAGATGTCAGGAAACAACTGTTTGAAGAAAGATGGAAGGGAGGTGCTGCACTTACCAAAGCATCCTTATCAGATAATAAGTCTACTAACTGAAATGAAAATCTGTTCCTACTGGCATACTTAGATGATTTTAATTTGACACATGTAAGCACTTTCTGTGTAAACATAGTAACACCTAAAGGATAAAGAAGAAACTCTTAGGAGTTGTTTGAAATTTATTTACAATTGGATTGAAAACAATAAATCTGACATAACCATATATTAACAAGTCAAACTTGTTTTATTTCCATTTTGATATGAATTTAGTTCTTAAAAATAGACAAACATAGTTTACCTTCTAAGGAAAAGGTAATGTCCTCTCCCCAAAAAGAGGAAATTCAGAGAACTCTGGATTTAAACTTGGTACAGGGCTGCCTGCCGTGGTTACTCACCACAGTGGTCAGAATGGGAAAACGTGACCAGTGGGGAAGCCAAACTCAAACTCCGGCCCCAAACGTCCCTCCTCCGTCCAGGCCACAGAGCCCTGGTGGTGCGGCACACTGTGTGCCAGGCTGATGGGAAGGTCAGTAGGACAAACCCACCGGGAGGAGGAGAGGCAATGTCCTCCCATTAAGCTTTATGACTTCAGGAGCCTGACGGAAGGTCACCGTGAGTCTCTCTGAATCCAAACCAACCTGGCAGCAGTGACATCGTTCCCTTTCAATTCAAGGGTTCTGGGGGCACTGTAGTTAAAGCATTTGGCTGTTGCACTGCGAAGCCCCCAGTCACTCTCCATGGGAAGACGATGCCTCTCCCATCAACACTGCAGCCATGAAGCCATGAAGCAGCTCTACTCTGGGCTGTAGCATCGCAAGGAGCTGGGCTGCCACTCTGCCCTCCGATTCTCCCTTAGCCAGCCAAGCATTCCTACTCCTCGTCTCCTTCTCTGAAGAAAACCTGCCTCTCTCCCCAGAAGCTCTGCTTCATTCTAGAGTGGTCAACTGTTCTGTCCTTTGATAAACACCTCCATACCAAGGGTGCTTGCCAAAGCCTAACCCCCTGATCCTGCTGCTGTGCTATCCAGGAAATGCCGATTCAGAACAGCCCTGTGGGAGAGAAGAGAACCGTCTCCCTGGACTTCCTGGCCTGTGAGCTTTACTAGAGCAGACTGGCCGGTTATTCTCCTGTGGAGCCACTTCTCGGTGTTGTCAGGTGTCATAGCAACCCTCTGAACAAGACCAGGAAACTCTGAGCTCTCCTCCTTGCCATCTCGAATACGCACAAGCCCAGCGTCAGTCACTGTCAACCGTCCTATGTGGGTCTTCCTCTGGCACCTTTCCCAGTCTTTTTCCCCACAGACTGGTATAAGACCAACTGTCACCACCTTTGCCTCTAAGGAACATGCTGGTTGCGCTACCTCCAAGATAGACTTGTTTTACAGTCCGTGGGATATTTAGTACTTTTCCCCAATACAATTCAAAGGCACTGATTCTCCTTTGTTCTTCCTCATTCACTGTCCAATTTTCAGATGCACATGAAGCAGCTGAAAATACCATGGCTTATATCAGACTTGGGTCAAGTGCACCTTAGTGCTGAAGCTGACGCCTTTGCTCTTTAGCATTTTAAAGAGGTTCTTAACAGCTGATTTTCCCACCGCAACATGTCTTTGGATTTGACTGTTGCTACCAAGAATGCTGATTGTGTATTCAAGCAAAACGAAGTTGCTGACAGTGTCAATCTTTTCTCCATCTCCGATGATATTCACGAAAGAAGGATGGGTAATCTCGCATGCGATCAATAGTCTCTGGAAAGCCACCAGAGGGTCAGCCATGGGTAGGTTCCAGCTCTACCGTCGACATCATCATGATGAGATCCTGTCTGTTGATTCAGTGGTGAGTATTTTTCTCATGTTGAGGCACAACCCATTTTTAAGGCTGCAGGCTTTGATCTTTTACACGTGTTTCAAGGGTTCTTTACTTTCTGCAGGTAAGGCTGTGCCGTCTGTACAAATGGGCTGCTGGCAAGTCTTCTTCAAACAGCCTGGCTTTTCAAATGACCTGCTCTGCATGTGTACTCAGTTAAGTATGGAGGAAGGAGGTAGCCCTGCCACCTTTCTGGATTCTAGACCACACAGTATCTCCTTGTCCTGGAGTGTGGGTGGGCTCCAAACACTGATCTTTCAATCTGCAGCCACGTGCTTAACTACTGCATCTTCAGAGCATCCAAAGACAGGGGTTTCTCAGTCCAGGCATCTCTAGCCACCCCAAGGATGTCACAGTGAGACAGCTCTAGGGATGAAGGGACGCTGGAACGCTCATGACCCCTCGGTGTGGTAGTTATGACGGAGTACTCACAACTATCCAGAAAGCCCACCTCTGGGAAGTTTGTCCACTGGAACCAAGACGCGTATTGGATTTCAAACTGCAGTCTGCTCAGAGAGGACACATGGCGGTGGACAGCACCACACAGTGGGCCCAGCAGCCGTACACTTCCCCGGTAGTCCAGGCTCCGCCCTGACAGGGTGAGAAATAACTTCAAAAAAAAGGGCCTGACTTAGCCACGTTATAATGCAGAACTGTAAAAAGCCTCTACAAGATCAATACTCGGGTGGAAATGGAACATGCAGTATTGAATATGCACCTTTATTGTTGGACATAATTTTCATAAAACTGGACTAATTATAAAAGAAAAAAATCTGTAGGGAATATGGAAAATATGCAAAGGTTTAAACAAGAAGAAGATATTTTCTCCAATGTCTTTTCCTTTCCCTAAGTTTATAGAGAGTCAGGCTCATCTTGTATATGTAACACTGTACGTCGTCTGCTGAAACTGCTTGCTTTGTTTTGGTTTGGGGGTCTTTTACTTCTTAGTATCTGGTAGCCTAGTGGACATGGAGTTAGCCTGCCAACCCAAAGACACCTGGTTCTAATCTACCAGCAGCTCCTCAGGAGGACGAATAATCTCATCCCCTGCAATTCACAGTCTATGACAATTTGCTGAAGAGGCAGCTACTAGTCAGTTATAACTCCACAACATCAAAACCAGATTTGAAAAAATTAAATCCTAATAGCCTGTGAGATTTCTAGTGACATTCATTATTTTGTGACATTTAAAAAATATTAATATATTGGGGGTTTTTAAATTGTTTCTTTGGGGTTTTTCTTTTTACGATAAACTGTGAGCATTATTCAAGATGTTACAGCCACACCCCACTATCGCAGGCCATGCTGCAGCATGCACCCCACTATTACAGGCCACACTATAGCGCGCACCACCCCCCGCACTATCACAGGCCACACTACAGCATGCACACCCCACTATCACAGGCCACACTGCAGCGCGCACCCCACTATTACAGGCCACACTATAGCGCGCACCACCCCCCGCACTATCACAGGCCACACTACAGCGCGCACCCTGCACTATGAGACGCACTTCTGTCTTATCAATTCCTACTCTCTTCATTTATAATATTTGTCACCATTAGTGAACGTCCCAACCCAATCCCTGTGCCAAAACATGCACAATTATGCCTGGATGATAATAATATTATTCTACTTGCAATGACAGCACAACACATCACAGTTCACTGTAAGCCTTTATCTTGTAGGAAGGACCCTGCTGGAACAGGGATGGGACCCAGCTGCTAACCAAAAGGCCAGTGATTAAGCCCCAACTGCTCCCGGGGAGAAGGATGTGTCAGCCGGCTTAAAGAAAGATTAAAAAACGGAACCAGCCCCTAGTGAGCTGATTTCAATTCATTTCAGTTCTGACAGGGTCACTACGAGTGGAAATCCACTAAAAGGCAATGGAGTTTGGTTTGGGAATTCATTCTTTCTGTTCTGTTCTTCTTTCTTCTCTTTTCTGTCTTTTCCTACACAGTAGAAGATCTGGAGAACCATATAGAAGCCCTGTGACCACTAGCCTCAATCCCTACCATCCCCATCAATACCCGCTTTATATTATCAACATCCCATCAGTCCTTCCTAACCCTTCTTTTCCTGTAAAAATTGTCTAAACTGAGCTTCTGATTGTTTTTGTTAGGTGCCTTTGAGTCTACTACGCCTTACACCAACCTGATGGACAACAGCTCTGAACCTCTCCCTGTCCTGTGTCGTCCTCATGGTCCCTGCATGGTTCCTGCCCATTGTTAAGGTCACTGTGTAAATTCACCCCAAGGATCTTTCTCTTTCTCTAACCCTCTGCCTTTCCCAGCAAGATGTCCTTCTCTGAAGACTAGCCCCTCTTGACATGTCCATAGATGAGCTGAAGTGTCAACATCCTTGCCTCTAAAGAACACTTTGGTTGCACTTCTCCAAAACAGATTTATTTGTTCTTTTGGCTGTTCATGGGACATTCAATATTCTTCTCTAACACTATAATTCGAAGAAATCTATTCTTCTGTCATCCCTATTCACAGCCCAATTGTGACAAGAACAGGAAGCAACTAAAGAAAAGCATGGCGAGGATCAGGCTTATCTTAGTCTTTAAACAGACATCCTTGGCCAGTCAGGATTTTGAAGAGATCCTTGACTCATCTCAATGCACCATGCCTTCTGATTTCTTGGGTGCAATTCCCATGGGTGTTGGTTATGGATCTAAGTAAGGAGTGATTGGCCTTTTTAAAGACACTGTTTAAGAGTTACTATTGACACTGACACTTGCTCAAAACAATCTTTTCTTTCTAAATAACCCCAGCCCCTGATAACCACAGATCATCTCTCAATGAATTTACTCAGTCCAGGAATTTCACAGATGTGGGCTCGCACTAACTCTGCCATGCTTTCTAGCTTCATTCCTTCTATGCATATGGGCTTCTTGTCTTAGTCACACAGTACTGCCACAACAGAAATACCATAAATGCATGGATGTAACAAATAATGCTTCCGTCCTTTGCACATCAAGGAGAGGTGTTTCCTTCCACAATCCCTGCTTGCTCTAAGCCCAAGACCAGATGAAATGTTTCAACTAACAGATGCAGTCCTGGAAACACTCATCCATCTATGCCCTGAAACGTGGAGGACAGTTGTCTGGTCAACTCTTGGTGTCTAAGGTTTATCATTTCGATGTCTTCTCTAGCCAATGATTTGCTGTTTATTTTGTGCTGAATTAATTATTGTACTAAGGAGAGAGGATTAGGATGGGATACAAGCCTCACCCTATTTAGAGGCTTACATAAGCTCATGGGACCTCAGCGCCAGGCGCTCTTTTCCCTTGGAGAAGCTCGCTCGCCTGGGACATAGCTGCTCAACAGTCGCTACACCACCGACTTACATCACCCACAGTCACCATCCAGCTCTGCCACAAGCGATGGTCTACAGGATCCTGGCCTATCACTCACCACTTTCTCCAAAACCAGCCGGCTGGTCATGTGAGTCATTCCTCTGATGGGTCTGAGTATCTGGAGACCTTCTAGTGAGTCTAAACCTAAGGGCCATAAAGGAATTGAGGAACTGAGCCAGAAATGGAGCTGTTTATGCTATGGGCAATCTTCTGTGCAATTAACTGCCTCTGACAGCCTGTTGAAGGGTCAGCAATGGGTTAGTGCCAACTTGACAGTACACAACAACAACAACAATAGCTGGTTAAGCATTTGGGAATATGCTGACCTGAGACTTCCCCTAAACAGGTTGCTATTAATCTTATTTAGCAAGATGAATTATGAAAACAATTAGTGTCAGGACGGTGAGATTCGCTATTGAAGGTTGCCAACAGCAGATTTTTCCCAATATGTCCTCTTTTGATTTCCTGGCTGCTGGTACCAAGAGTGGGGACTGTGGAGTCAAGTAAACTAAAGCTGTTAACAATCTCAATCTCTTCACCATCTATCATGATGCTGCCAATCAGCCCAGTGGTAAGAATCTTTGTTTTCTTGATGTTGAGCTTCAATCCATATTGAAGGCTGCAATCCTTGACCTTCTACAGCAAGCGCTTCTGGTCTTCCCCAGTTTCAGCAAGCAGGGTTGTGTCATCTACATAATGCAGGTTGTTGACTCTTCCTCCAGTCCTGATGTCACATTACTCCTCAGAAAGTCCAGCCTCCTGCATGATCTGTTCTGCATAAAGATTGAAAAGGTATAGAAATAGGACACAAGCTTGGTGTACACCCTTCCCTACTTTGATCCATGTAGTGTCTCCTTGCTCTGTTCTGATGACTGCCACTTGGTCCAAATAGAGGTTTCGCACAAGCACAATCAAATGTTCCAGGATTCCCAGTCTTCTCAGAGTCAACGACAATTTGTTGTGATCCACACAAACACCTTTGCATAGTCAATGAAAGACAGATAGACATTTCTCTGGTACTGTGCTTTCAGCCATAATCCGTCTAACATTAGCTATAATATCCATAGTACCATGCATGGCTTCTTCTAAACCCAACCTGTACATGTGGCAGTTCTCTCTGTTGATATACTGCTCCAGTCGTTTTTGGATGATTTTCAGCAGAATCTTGCTTGTATGTGATTTTAATGATATTGTTCGATAATTTCTGCACTGTGCCAGGTAGACTTGGCCAACAGCACTTGGCCAACTGACTGGAAGAGATCGATATTTGTTCCTATCCCAAAGAAAGGTGACCCAACAGAATGTGGAAACTACAGAACAATCTCACTG